CTGTCATTCCCAAACACCCGTGTAAAACCAAAACACAGCTCCCTGCAGAACACCTTGTTAATGAATCGTTTCTTTTTTCAAATATTGATAAAACAAAATAACTTGAAAAACAACTTTCAAAAGCCTAAAATTGCATACCTCCTTACATGAAATGTGTCCCTTAATATTTTTGTTGCATTTTAACTCGCATTTTAACTTGAGTGTGTCAAGAGCAACCAGTCTCTGGATAGCAACAGTACTACATTTTAATGGGCCTTTAAACTCTTTGTGTGCTGACAGAAGGGGTCATCTTGTTCGTAGCATCTATTAATGGCAAGGGAAATAACTCTTGAATTCAACTCTCACACAAGTTTTGTTTAGTTTTTTGTTTTACGTCCTACTGACAGCTATGGTCATTTAAGGACATGTCAGGCTTTGGTGGGCAGGAAATGTAAAGCAGGAGTTTCTGGAGAAAACACTGACCTTCCTGGTGACTGCCCCACGTAGGTCTCGAACCTGCGACCCACTGGTGGAGGGCTAGTGGTAGCAGAATGTCAGACACACTGAACTACTTGTCCACCGTGGCCCCTAACACATTAGCAGCTTAATAATGATGTTAAGAAAAAAGAAACCACAGGTATAAATAATCAACAATGTAGTATTAGTAAATCCCCTAAATAGGTCTCGAACCCAGGACACAGTGGTGGAGGGCTAGTGATAGCAGAATGTCAGACACCTTAACCACTTGGTCCCTTAATACATTAGCAGCTTAACAATGATGTAAAGAAAAAGAGAAAACATGTATCAGTAATCAACAGTGCAATATAAGTGAATCCCCTCCCAATAGTTTCACAACATTTTGTAGATTATGCAAAACATGGTATCCTGAAGAAATTGTCATGGAAAAGCAAACAAAAAGCTGTGAATGAGGAACATTAACTACATCAATTTAACTTCAGTTGTTCAAATGTTCATCCACTGAAAATGTACATTATATGTACAGTTTATTGCCACAATCTTACTTTAGCACTAAAAACATCTACTTGCCTATTTAATCAATCAATGCACCAACGCATTCTTTAAGTACTGAACAAGTACTTCTATAGGTAGCACTGTAAAGTAATTTGTATTTTAAAGATGAAATAGTAAAACTGATATATTAAGCATGATTACCGTAATGAAAGACATCAAAACTATATAAGATGAACCACATTTTCTTTAATCCATTAAAGGATTGGTCTTTCAGTCCATGTAAAACTGTTAGGGTTGGTCCATTGACTATTTTCTGTACAGTAAACTGATTATCTATCTATCAATAAACTACATATGTACATGTATCATATAAAAGTGTACATTTAACAATGCTGATACTCAAAAATGTTTTCATCATGTATCTTCACAATTTTTTGAAAGATCTGTAACACTTTTATTACATAGAGAAGTTTTAACATACATCTTTATATTTTTTTTGAAAATAATGAAAATAGCAACAGCAGTTTTCCCCATAAAATCTGTATCAATTTGACATAGTTTATCCATTATCATGGTTTGATTCATCCAAATGCTATTTAGTAGTCACAATTATTCTGAAAAAAACCCCACTTGTTTTCTAATTTATTGTTTTAGTATATTCAAATATATGTTATACTAATTAATAAAATTGTACATGTACATATTGTACACAGTGGAAAAATCAAGTATCAACACAGTATGCCTTCGTTCTGCATGTTTAGTTACATTATGTCAAGATTATGCACCCATTATATCCTTGGAGAACGCTATTGTGTAAAATCTATTACAAACCTAGCCAAGAGTACTTTCAGCTTTAAACCCTAAGTATGGCAACTTGGCAAGTTAATTTGACATAAATATGAAACGTTGGTTTTTACAAGTTGTTTTTTTTCAAGAATTTTTACAATTTTTGAAACTCCTTCCAGTTAATTTTGCTCTCTGAAACAAGAAACAGTTTACATTGAAAAAATCATCTGCAAGTGAAAATGGATCATTTGGAATCCCCACTTTTGTTAATTCCATGGTTACAGACAAATATAATAGAAGAAAACTCCATATCTCACTTAAATGTTAAAAGTTGATGCAGAAAAAAGTTCATATTTCATTTTATAACATGAAGTCGGTTGTTTTTAAAAAATCTAAAAGAAACAGTTTTTTCAATAAATATTAACATGGACACTCAATGCAACAAAACAATAGCTAGGCTCTATACTGTACTTTTTAATTATCATAAGTAGTGTTTGAATATATTGTATCACAGTCTCTGTTTGGTTTCAATAGTGTAAACACTGGTTGAACCAATATGTATATGTGTTTATGAAAGAATAAAAATGTGTCATGAATAGTGAGCCATAACTCAGGTAATGTATCAGTACATGTCAAAAACTTTAGAAACAGGACGTAATTGTACTTATTTATTCAATTAATATTGAAAAAAAAAAAAACACAGAAAAACTTGAAACTTAACCTTTAAGAACTATACCACAATGTAACCAATACCTGTACCTCCCCCAATAACAAGCAAAGATGAATCAAGTCAATTACATTGTAGAGTTAAATCTTAATGTAGTAATGAAAATTTGTACCAAGATTTATAAATGAGTGCATAAAGATTTTATAAGCATTTAGAATGAACAAGATATGCCTATAGGATTTTCGAAAAAGGGGCATAACTAGCCTCGTCCCCAAAAAAATATTCATCTGATATTATTGGATGTACATGTAATTGATCAAAGCGACCTTGACGAGAGGGTCAGGATTATTTGGTTGAGCAAGCTAGATAGCCATGCATTCATCAAGCAATAACAGGTCACTACTTATACATGTATCATGAATTAATGGACCCTGGCCTTTTGACACTTGTGACTATGAAAATGATCAAGGTCATTCATCTAAACTAGAGATCCTAAGAGGGTCTTGGCGTCCACCATCGTACCATCTTTATCAGTGTATTAGCGAAGAAATATGATGGGGAAAATACTGTAGCCCAGGGACCCACTCACTATAAGTCAGCAACGTCGAGTGTGGTCAGTAGCTGGATGGAAGGCGGCCCACACATTACATTTGGTGGCAGGTCAGTGACCTTTTGATCATGTAAGGCAGATCCCGGTGGTTAGGGAAGGTGCCTTGATATACAGGGAGGACCTACAGCATTCCCCAGGCCAAGTCTCAGGGTTAGACTTATCGGAGGGGGGAGTAGTGTCTCAGGATTAGACTTATCAGTGGGGGGAGTAGTGTATCAGCTAAGCAATATGAGGGGAAAATACTGCCTTACTTGCAAGCTAGCTTTTCCAGTGATGCTGTATAATCCTGTACTTCTTGATAAATATTGACAACAAAAATAAAATGTCAAAATTCAAGATGGCTGTCTGGTGGCCATCTTGTTTTCCCAATCAGTCTCAAACTGAAACATGCATAATGACAGACCACTGGGAACCTACATGTGAAAATTGAGAAATATCACTACAGTTCTTTCTGAGAAATAGAGCTAGCAAGCTTTAGTTTTCAAAATTCAAGACCGTCACCTGTCAGCAATTTACGTTTTATGATCAGTCCAAATATTAGATATGGGGAACCTTCATGTGAAATTTGAGAAAAATATAAACACTCAAAATTTGAGATGGCTGGCTGTCAGCCATTTTAGTTTTCGTATCAGTCCTAACCTTAAATATGCACATTTCCGGACAATGGAGAACCTAAATGTGCAATTTGAGAAAGATCAGTTCAGTACCTTCTTAGGAATAGCGCTTACAACCTAAAACTCTTTATTATTCAAGATGATCACCTGTCAGCCATTTTGGTTTTCTGATCAGTCTCTAACTAAGGACCATACCATGCCATCATGTGAAATTTGAGAAAGATCTTACCTGCCCTTCCTGAAAAATAGCAATAAATTCTCTAAATTTAAGATGACCATCTGTCTGCTATCTTAGTTTTCCGATCAGACCCAAAATTTGTAATGAGAAACTAGGGACCATCGCTAGCATTCATGTGGAGTTTGAGAAAGATCCCTAAAGTTCTTACTGAGAAATAGTACTAACAAACTTTAACTCTCAAAAGTCAAGATCTTGGTTTACTGATCAGCCCAAAAATTTGATTTGCCCATCAAGAGATCTAGACCTTCATGCGAAATTTGAGAAAGATCCTTCGTGCACTTCCAGACTGACCACATACGGAGGGAGATTTGAACAGCTCACTATCTGATGATGGTGGGCGAAAAAAATGATTGTCCTTCACCACAGCAAGGCCAAATACAAGGTTTCTAGGCCTCACAGTTAGTTTAATGAATATTTCAACAATTTCACTCTTGTGATATTGAATGCGGATCCGAATCATCATTTTGAACAACCTAAAGTAGCTTCTAGTCAACAAGCTATAGGATATCTTTAAAAAAATAAGTTTGATATATTTTACAACAATTATGAAACAAGTTATAACATAATAATCACTCTTGTTGGCTCAGATGGTAGCGTGCAGGGTGTCTTAAATGTGAGAGAAAAATGGAGTACCTACAGAGTACCCACCTAGTCTGGCAGGTGACCCCATACCTTTTCAAGTCCAATCAAGAAAGTGAAATGCAAGTATGTACTATCCACTGTGTCACTAGCACTTGAAGGTCATAAGTTGTGAGCTGATAATCTCTCCATATTATAAAAATATATGTATATGGTTTAAGGATTAACATGAATATATTTTTCATGTTATGGAGCGGTTTATGATGAGAGTACACTCCGTTTTTTTGTGTTATAGTTCCATAACATGAAAAATATATTCAAGTTAATCCTTATAATTTAATCTACTATACACAATCCCTGTGGAAATCCACTTTTATTGATGGACTCTTTTCTCTTGGAAATTATTGCGCTGCTGTATCAGCCAATCAAAAGCGACGTTACAAACAGCGTCGTCATTTTTTATGTTATTGGCTGATAACATAAATTTTTAAGCCAATGAAAATGCTTGTTACAAGCAAGATTCAATTATTCAAAAATAAACATGAAACAAAACAAATTTAGAAAATATGCTTGAATCATGATCACAGGTAAAAAAAAAAAAATCACATAATATATTTAACAGTTTTGACTAAGAGTTTGTTCATTCTCTGGTGTAACCATGGCAACATTATTTGCGATTCTTGTAAGCAATGGCTGTATCTTGTCTTCATCAAGGTCGCTGATCCACAAATCCGTCAGATATTTGTCCATGAAATTCTTCTGACTAGTTAGTTCCTCTGCCTGCTTATTTGTATGGACAATCTGAATAAACAGCACATCTTTATATGGGGCGTTATCACCGTCACAGTAACCATGCAGAAGGAGAGCAGCAAATGGAGATAATGATTCGAAATTGTCCAGAATGACACCTTTCCCTGCGGATTGTCCAAAAACATACTGAAGCTTTTTATCTAGTTCTTTCTTATCTTTTGCAGCACTTTCGTGTTTGAGGTCATTTTTAATATGTATACACGATTCCTGGCTCCCTAGGGATCTGTTAAACAGACCAGAGTAAAGGGTTAGCAACTGTCTAGCTAAGCATTCTGCAGTGGGCGACTCTCCGTGCTGGTTTTCGGGGACAACCATCATCAATACAGCAGGAGCTGCAGGGTTTGGCTCCACTATCATGGGACGGAGCATGCCAAAAACTGTCCTCCAAAAATTCCTGTCTTGTCCTGGAAATTTCATTTTAAATTCCATAAACTTGTCTTGAAAATGTTCAAAAGAAATTCTGGTATTTTCATCTGGATCCAGATTACCTTTAAAAGGGTCTTCATTGCTGATTGGAGCATATGGCACATAATGATAAAGGATGCAAGCTAGAACCACCACCACCACAATTCCAAGAGCATTAATGAACATGCTAGATTGACTCTGTGCTTGGCTAGATCCTGTGCTTGTTTTCTGAGCAGAACGACTCTGTTTGGTATTGCTTCTTCTAACAGGTGATGGACTTTGTTCAAAGCTAGAATTGCTTGAAAATCCTTTGTCAGATTGTGGACTGCCAGCTGGTGAACGTGTTTTGCGTGATTTTTGAGGAGAGAGAGATCCTCCCTTGGACGACTTTGACACATCCACAACACCAGGTGAAGGGGATTCTTTCAACGGAGATGTAGATTCTCGTTCCTCTTCTGCAGAACTTGAATCATAGTTGTTTACCTTTTCATCCTTTTTTCTTATAGGTGCCCTTGGTGACGGACCCTTATGTGGAATTTTTTTCCGCAAATTGTATGGGGAACCACCCTCATCACTAATCGAAGCCATGGATCTTGGTTACAATCTTAACTTCCTGGTAGCTGCCCTTAACACCTGAACAAAATCAAGTTTACGAAAATAAGCATTAATAGTACATGTAATACAGTAAATACACGTAGTTAATACAAATGTCAACATAAGATCAACAAATTTAAATGAAACATTTATTTCTGAGGTATAGTCAATCACCATAAACATATTTTCTTTCAGACATTTAGATTATCAGTGTTACATGTAATTTCACTTGGACTGCTTTCCATATGGAAACAAACAAAACAAGAGGCCCAAAGGGCCTTTATTGTTTACCTGGAGATTTTTTTACTCCAAGATCTTGTTACTTTGATTCTTTAACCCTTTCAAAAAGGTTGGTGCATTTGTTATTTTGTCGTGCTGTCCTGGCAAAGCCTTGCTGTCCTGGCAAAGCCTTGCTGGCTATCTGCTGTGTCTGTACTGTCAGTCCTGTCGTGCGTGTGGTTACATTTCTACAATATGTCCCAAATAGTAGCCGTGTTAGTGTCTGAATAGCTTATTTCGTTTCTTTATGTATGTTTTTGTGTTCTTTACAATAATGTATTGAATACTATCTGTGAGTTGTTCATTTATCAAAACCCTGGAACCCCAAACTCAATGAACCTGGGTAGCAAAGCTAGGACTCGCTTAGGAATAATTAATATTAATACCCAGCATCCTCTGCCCCGGTTATATTAATACCCGGCCTCCTCTGCCCCAGTTATATTAATACCCGGCCACCTCTGCCCCGGTTATATTAATACCCGGCCTCCTCTGCCCCGGTTGTATTAATACCCGGCCTCCTCTGCCCCGGCCATATCAATACCTGACCTCCTCTGCCCTGGCTATATCAATACCCGGCCTCCTCTGCCCCGGTTATATTAATACCCGGCCTCCTCTGCCCCGGCCATATTAATACCTGACCTCCTCTGCCACGCAATATGTAAACAAATTCTCTCATCGTTAGTAAGCTACCTTATCGCAACTAGGCAATATATAAAAAAATCTCTCGTCATCATAAAGCTACGTAATTTCGCAGCTAGGACTTGCTCCTACTACACTTGTAAACATACAAGTTTCAACATATTCCGTCATCTATTTTTTACTTCATCTCAACTGTCTTTACGGCTGAAGCCTTTCCAAGAGTAAGCACAGGAGCCTGAAGTTCTGTCAAAAATGAATAATAATAGTAATACCCAAAAAATAAATATACCTATTATAATTGCTTTAAATATTTTTAAGCATATTATAGGTATTTTTTTGGTATTACTTTTATTATTCATTTTTGACAGAACTTCAGGCTCCTGTGGGACAACTTGACTAATACACGGTAGTCTAGTAGAATCATAGACTTCTCAGCACCAGGTAAAGTTGGTACTTGGACACCTCAGCACTTATATTTTCAGAACTTGGTGAACTCGGCACTTTTTGAACTTGAAGACAAGTCGGTACTTATTTCTTCCAGTTTAATTGTTAAGTTATTGAATCTGATATCCCTGAATCTATAATTGGTATTCAGTGTCATCATAATTTGTGATAATAATGTTCAAATTCATATATAGGTCTTTATAGCTATATAGCTCAACCGGCAGAGTGTACTGGACCTGATATAAAGGGAATAACTCGTTGAAACTGGTATGTCTCTTGTGGAAACCGACCACCATCATATTTCCTGTAGGTTAGCAGATGAAAATAGGTTGATAACTTCAATCATTTTCCTTTAGAATAGTTAAAATTTAAAGGTAATGATTTCTAAAAACGCTGCACCACACAATGGAAAAATGTTCCATCTATTTTGGTAGCATCACGTTATGATGCATGCAAAGTCATTCGTGGACGCTTATTCACTATGTTTTATACATACTCCACTGAACATTTTATTTAGAAGTATATAAGTGCCGAGGTGTCCTAGTGAAAATGCCGAGGTGACCACAAAACAGTGCCGAGGTGTCTCGAACCGAAAGTGAACACAGGTGCTCGGGTTCTGGAATATATGTGATATATTATCGCACCCCCATATATTCCAGAACCCGCACACATGTGGAGATGACCTGTTACCGTCTAGTCCTAACACATACGGTCTACGTCATAAGTTTGTAAGGTTTTGAGAAAGAACATACAACTACCTTTGTACTTACCGGAACCGCTGCACGAGGAAGCGACTAATAAAATAACCGGAAATGAAATCCGGATATTTATTTTGTTTTATAAACCAGGGACGTATAATGTACTGTCCCTGTATAAATAATAAAAAAAAATATATATATATAACCGCAACTGATTATTATTAGTACAATATATTAATATGTAATATTTCGAAGATGGTTTTATTTTCAAAAGAAAAATGCCACATAACCCAGTTCTTCAAACACATAACATAATCAATATAAGGAAAGTGAAAGTGAAAGTAGAAGGTGACTATGCGGATCTAGATGTAACTGCCATTTTGTTAATTGGAGCACATGGTTTTGTTACGTACGTATACATATATGCTTTACTGATGTGGGTATATGTTTATGCGTGCTATGACCCATATCAGTATAGCATATGTATATTAGACATTTGTAACGAACCCATGTGACCGGAGAAGAGACGTACTATATGATACTGCTGGCTTGATATGTCTCAGATCTGATTGGAGGTACCATAGCTCAGAAACGTACACATATATACACTACTGGCTTATAGTATGTCTCTACATAGCTTCAGTATTTGTGCATGTATCTGAACGTATACTGACAGTCAATTATAAAATGTGAATATTAAAAAAAAAACCACAGTACAAATTAAATATTTATCCGGGACCCCATTGGAATGGGCTATCCTAGGGGAAATGGCACTGCCCTTACAATTCTAGTCAGTCATTCGTTCTCTACTAGATTTCTAATTTTGAGTGCAATAGTGAAATACATGTATGGTTCTAATTTATTAAATAAATTTTTATCTGTGATATTTAGTGCTCATCTTATATTATCATATCCATGCATTAGTGCTATGATGGATATTTGCTTTTTATTTATCCTTAACAACTATAGCACTCATTTAAATCCTATTCGTGTAAGGATATCAACTGATATCGATCTCATCATTTATTTCTTACATGTTCCTTATAACGTATCTGTCATTTTTTTGACGGAAATATTAATAATTCTTGTGTACGACTTACTAAAAAAGAAAAGGCAATCAGCTTCATCTTTTACTATCTTAACCTAAATGATAATCAATTACGCACCTCGGCTTTATAGCAGCATGTCTTATTGGATTTTATTGATCACATGACGGTGAAATGAAACTTCGTGTGGATTTCTCGCGCTCGAGTTTCGTTGAACAAAGTTTTATTTGGGGCAATTTTTAGAAAAATGTTCAAGAACCATGGCCACCTTACCTGAGATCCGAGTGACTGACACAGACGACAACAATGACTCATCAACCAGACAAGTTTTTCTGGGTTTATTTTCTTCAAAATTATTTAATATGTATTGTCCTTGAGAGAAACACGATTCCGTGTTTCTCTTCAATTAATCACGTTAAGGTATATATCAACATGATTTATTTCAGGGAAACAAATAACCTACCACAAAGGCATTTCCATTATATTACTAACATTATATTTCAATAAACAAACAGACCACCTCCATCCTCGAAATTCCAGGGGTTCAGCTCACTTCGTGTTCCTTGCGCTCAAGGAGTATAGTCATGGAAAATATGGTGGCACGAAATTAGCCATTGGATTCAGGTTTATCAAATCTAGCCAATCGCGATCGGTAAGCTGGAGCTGATACCTGTCCTTTTAAGATTACAGAGGAGCGACACTCGCCATAAAAGCCGGTCAAATTTACAGTTATGCTGTTGCACGATGCTTCTCATGAACAATGAAGGATCAAAGTAGTCTACTTGTATGGCCTGCAAGGCGGCCAGTACAGATCCTTCGTTTTTTTTCATGTCATATTTCAGGGGTGCATAAAACGTAAGAGAGCTTTACCTCTGGAATTTAGAAGATGCCAGCACACGAGCACACGTACACGCCCACGTCCTTAAATGGCATAGACTATACGGATGTCGAACCCGGTAAAACATCCAATATATATGTTATATCTACATTTTCTGTACCTGTGAACTATATACAAATCATCATAGGTCTCTGAACAGGGGTACATGTACATGTACATTGTATGAGAATGAAAACCGACTACGAAGGCGAAGCAGAGCTGCTCTATCTGCAGAAGGATTAACTCAGGAGCAAATTCAAGAATTAACTAAATCGACAGTTAAGCTCGAAGTCATATTTGTTCACTCAGCAGGGAAACTAGGCCAAACTGATATCACAGCTCACCAAATCAACACTATGGGGAACAATTCGATGAAAGTACCACCGAGACGATCACCTTTTACTAGGAAGTAGTTACTGAGACAGAGCTGAGAAAGTGATGGAGGCAGGGATGTTACTATAGAAAGCAATAGTTCATGATCAGTGATCCGAAGTCTTATCGCTTATCGTACAGTTCAGTAGTAATCTGTCCCTGTTGACCCATCCTTGATATCCAGGGGTTAAGCTCACTTTTGCTCTCTACACATCGACATCCAGGGGTTACGCTCACTTTGGCTCTCTTCACATCGATATCCAGACGTTACGCTCACTTTCGCTTTCTACACCCCTGGCATATGTCAAAGCAAAATCGAAGGCTCTTGTGGGAGAGACGAGAAGACTAGTTTGATCCTTTGATGTACATCAAAAGAATATCGCGGTCGCGTAACGGTAAAACATACTGGCTTTGAAGTCAGGCGTCGCTCCTCTTATATCTTCAAAGGACAAGTGGTTCTTTTACCTGACACCATGCAGTCACATATCTAGCCGCGTGCCTTCAATTTTGCAATGACAAATTCCAGGGGTGTAGAGAGCGAAAATGAGCGTAACACTGGATATCGAGGATATTGTTGGCCATGTTGTTAGTAGAGATCAAGGAAAGTGCTTTAAAAGTAGAAGAGTCTTCCGTCTTTCCGTATTGCAGAGTTATCTTCTCTTGTGAGCAGGTATTGATTGTTACGTCATTTGTTTGTGAGAGTAACGTCATCAATTTTTGAGAAAACGACGTAATTTTCTCACACAAACCAATGACGTCACAATAAATCCCTGCTCCCAAGAGAGGATAACACTGCAATACGCAAAGACGGAGTAATACACATATAATATTGAAAAAAGTGACATATGAGCATAGATCTACATGATGTGACGCTTATTTAAACAATAACTGGTTGTCTGGATGTAATTATTGTTGATATAATTAAAAATCTACCATAAAACCCTAGCGGGTTTTATGGGAGTTGCCAGAGGCCACTTGTAATTATATCAACAATAATTACATCCAGACCACCAGGTATTTTTTATATTTACATATTTTTCCTTTTTAAGACATATTCCTACAAAAACCATTTGCCCTGCCTCAAAATACATTTCAGGCGGCCATTTTTTTGTTTACATATTCCTACACCTGAAACAGGCAGTTGT